CAATGTCAGAAAACCTTGTCTCATATATTTTGTCCAGTTTTTTTAGTCGTTTCGAGTAGGAGCGTATATCTGGTCCCTGTTACTCCATCTTGGCCAGAAGTGTTACTGGGTTTTTAATGGACCAGTTTCAAGTTTGTTTTTAGGACCTACTAAGGAGAAGGGTCCCTTGGACTAAGCAGCCTTTAAAATATTCTCTAAGGATAACCACAGAAAGGCTTGGAGAACTACATAATTCAATAAAAGCAGAGGTTGTTTTTTGTATTAGGAGTCAGAGGCCTGAGTCTCTCCTGTTCAGGATGGCATGTGGACTGGTTTTTGGAGGAATTCAAGCTGGTCCCTGCTCTCACACCTGACCCCTCTGTCTACAAATGCCGGCATCTTGACTCGCTTCCTCCATCCACGTAAGGTGTTCCTGCCTCAACCCTCCTAAGTAGGCACTTGTGCAGTCACACCTACACCAGCCTCCTCCCCAGAGCCACAGGGAACAGGATGATGGAACCTGGGCATCCCACCCTGGAAAGGGGAGAATCTTTGCACTAAATACATTGGGAGATGGTGGAGAGGCCTCGCCCAGCTACTTTTTTTTCCAAAAAAATTTAAACTTTTATTGTGAAGTAACTATAAACTCAAAGGAAGGTGTAAAAATAGTAATAGAGACTCACGTGCCCTTCCCCCAGCTTCCCCTAACGGTGATGTCTTATATAACTGTAGTACAATACCAAAACCAGGACATTGACACTGATCTTGACACTGCTATTAACTGGTCTACACGTCTTATTTGGTTTTCACCATTTTAAAAAATTGCATTCAGTAGCGGTTAAGTGCGCGCTCCACTGCGGCAGCCCCAGGCTCGGATCCCGGGCGCACACCAACTCACCGCTTGTCAAGCCATGCTGTGGCGGTGTCCCATATAAAGTGGAGGAAGATGGGCATGGATGTTAGCCCAGGGCCAGTATTCCTCAGCAAAAAGAGGAGGATTGGTGGAGATGTTAGCTCAGGGCTGATCTTCCTCACAAAAAAACAAAAAAACAAAAAAAAATTGCATTCATTTGTGTGTGTGTGTGTGTGTGTGTGAGTGTGTAGTTCTATGTGTAGGTTTTTCTCTCAAGTATGGGTTCGAGTAACCACCACCACAGTCAAGATACAGGACAGTCCCTTCACCACAAAGCACTGCCTCATGCTACCTCTTCGTATTCCCAAACATTCCCACCCTATCCCACCTCCCACCCTGTCCCTGTCCCCTGGGCAACCACTGATCTGTTCTCCATCTCTATAGTTTTGTCCTTTCGAGAATGTTCTATAAATGGAATCACACAGCATGTAATCTCTTTGAATCGACTTTTTTAACTAAGCATAATGCTCTTGAGGTCCATCCAGGTTGTTGCATGTACCAAGAGTTCATTCCTTGTCACAGAGTCATGTTCCTTGTCACAGAGTCATATTCCATGTCACAGATGTACCAGGGTCTCTTCAACCATTCACCCGTGGAAAGACATTTGGGCTGTTTTCAGTATTTTGGCATCACAGATAAAGCTGCTGTGAACATTTGTGTACAGGTTGTTGTGTGAAATTAAATTTTCATTTCTCTGGGACAAATGCCCACGAGTGCAGTTGCTGGGTTGCATGGTAAGTGCATGTTTAGTTTTATTAAGAAACTGCCAACCTGTTTGCCAGAGTGGCTGTACCATTTTACATTCCCACATATATTACTTTTATAATCCGAAAAAATATAGGATTTTTTTCAAAGAAAGAAAAACCTTGAAGGAAATATGATAACTGTGATAGTGTCAGGCGGTTGTAGGATTATGAATAATGTGGTTTTCTTTCTCTTTTTCTGTAACTTCTATATCGATTAGGTATTGCTTTAATAATTAATTTTTTCCAGACCCAAACTTTCGTATTGGAGGAAAAAAGACAGACCTGTGAAGATCTGTGAAATGCTGAGCTTGGCTTCTTTGGTTTACACCCTCTTACTTCATTCCTAGCAGTAAGGATGACGGAAAGACGGTTTAACTCGATTCTAGATAATACTCGCTGATTCCACAAGCATTCACTGAAGACCTACTGTGTGCCAGGCCCTTTGCTGGGCCCTGGGGGATAAGAGGTGACTGAGCCATGGTCTTTGCCCTGGAAGACCCCATAATGGAGTTTCCAGGACTGGCTTTTTTCAGAGCTTGAAGCAGTTTTATCTGGAGGCTGAAGCCTTAGGCCAAATCAAAGTGTCCAAAAGTGGCATTTAAAGAATCAGCAAGCCAGTGGGAAAAGCCCTTTGGGGACAAGGAGAGAAAAAAGGGGGTGTAGTTGGTGATGTTTTAAAAGAGGAACCGGAAGTAGCAAATTGCTTGCTATAATCTGAATGTTTGTGTCTCCCTAAAATTCATATGTTGAAATCTGAATGCCCAATATGATGGTATTAGGAGGTGGGGGCTTTGGGGTGATTAGGTCACAAGGGCTGAGCCCTCACAATGAGATTATGCCCTTTTAAAAGAGGCCCGAGAGGGCTCCCTTGCCATTCCACCGTGTGAGGATACAAGGACAAGTCAGCCACTGGAAGAGGGCCATCACCCAACCGTGCTGGCACCTTCATCTCAGAGTTCCAGCCTCCAGAACTGTGAGAAATAAATTTCAGTCATTTATAAGCCATCGAGTCTGTAGTATTTTGCTATAGCAGCCCGAACTGACTAAGACGTTGCTAATGTTGGGATTTCTGGGACTATGACAGCTTGGTGCAGAGACGGACTTTTGGGGACAATTAAGTCACTACCAACTTCATCTTGGCAAAAAGCCCAGTCTAGTGTTTTAAAAAACCCAGATATTAGAAAAATCTCTTGAGAGGTAAAATGAAATTTCTGACCCACTGGAGAGATGGATTAGCAAATAATAAGCATCTTAATTTATTAGGCACTTATTGACGTAATTCCACAGGCCAATGCCAAAACAGTGATAGACATTCCTACAGCAAAACCCTTTTACAGCTCATCTGACTTGCACAATAATCCTGTGAGGGCAGCTATCATCATCCTTCTCTCACTGATGAGATATTGAGGCTCAGACAGGTAAAGTGACCTGCCCAAGGTCACACAGCCATGAAGTGGTAGGGCTGAGACTTGGGGCCTGGTCTTTGGCTCCCAAAACCAGTTTCCTTCCCAACACTCAGATACTCAGAAGCATGAGCTGAAAGGCCAGAGACGGGTGAGAAATACAACCGTCCCAAGGGCCTCGCTTTGCCTATTATGAACTTGTGGGAGTTACAGCTAAGAAATTCTATTAACACACCAAGATGCCAAATAATTAATGAAAAACAAAGCTTAGAAGAAGGTGAAATTAGCTACATGATCCAACCACCCACGCACAAATCATTTCTCTACCACTACCTGCATCCTAAGAGGAAGGACCAAAATGGGCCAGTGTGATCAGCAAAGCGTTGTCATAACAGCCCTCCCCCGACCCCCGTCCCGGACTCCCAATTGCCCTGGTTGTAAGCACATTTTAATCTGTGGTTTGTGGTTAGAGCGCCCCCATGTGTTTCCACTTTGTCATAACTTTTTAAAGGACCAATTATCAGCTTCATCAAGATTTATAATGGGTGGGTTGCCTTATCTCCTTGAATCACAACATCACTGAGAGGTAGGTGAAAACCCAGGCTCAGAGGGGCCGAGGGACCATTGAATGAGAACAGCATAGCCGGGATTCTAATCCGATTAGGTTGGCCTGTCTCGGATGCCTGTTCTTTCTGCCACCTTTCCCTGCATCGGATTGGTCTCCAGGCACAGAGCCTGGTCCTCAGGAACTGATGTGTGGATGGTTCCGGAACTTCTGGAGAACGCCGGCATAATACGGGCCTCAGACTCCCGTCCAGTAGCTCTAAGCCTCAGCCCTGGGGGCAGCCCTTCCCTGAGGGGAGACAGACCCCTCCAGCTCATCTTCCCCTCAGTTCCCACCCTAAATATTCATTCAGCAACCCAGTGCTGGAGGCTGGGACCACAGAGATGAATGTGGCTGGGGCTGGTGTCACGTCCCTTCCTTCCTCCATTTCTTCAGACATTAATTCACAGAGAGGCAGAGCTGGGTTCTGGCTAAGATTCTGGGGTCAGACAACTTGAGTTCCCATCCTAATTCTGCTATTTTCTCATCAATGTGGTCCTGTTCCTGAGCCTCAGTTTCCTAATTTTTCAGACAGAGTTAGGAGTAGCATAAAGGTGATGGTGCATACAGGGGCCAGGGCCTGGGATGTGGTAAGCGGTCATTCCGCATTCACTCAACAAGCTCAAGGTTTGCTACCGATCAGGCTCTGTGCTGGCTGCTGGAGGGGATGAATCCAGTGGTTGGTGATGCCCAGGACCACCCAGGAAGCAGATATGTAAAAAGCTAGAGCCCCCACCCCCTCCCTCCTTCTGCCCCCACCCTTTCCTACGCACACCCTGAATGCCCAGGACAGCGAGTCCAGGACCTCCTCCCGGCCCCAGGTCCCTCCTTTCACCTCCCACCCCTAGGCCTGCCTTTGACCCTTGGGCCACCTCGTAGTGCCCAGTCTGGCACTGGGGGTGGTGGGGAGAGGGTATCAATCAGCATCTCAAAGGCCAGAGGCGCCTCCTTTTGTTGGGCAGCGGCCTCCTCCCCCTCCCCACCTGGAACACGAGAGCCCAGCCCCTGCAAGTTGGGCTGCTGGGCTTTCCCACAGCCAGCAGGAGCCAATGGGACCGTGGGGATGCAAGGGGTGGGCCTGGGATGTGGGCCGTAAAAGGGGGTGGGGCCGGGTGATCGGCCCTAGGTGCGAGGAGGCGTGAGGGGAGGAGCTCTGGAGGTAGGCACATCCTCCGTGGAGCTTGGGGAGAGACCAGAGCATCCTCCCCAGGTGAGAGGTGTTGTGGAGGCCTCCTTCGCCTGCCTTGCCGGCCAACTGTTTTCCTCTCCCATCTCACCCTCTGCTGGCTGAACTGGCCTAGTCCCAAGGAAGGTGAGCTGGGGGCACGGGTGGTCAGTTTTCACCCCAAGCATTCCTGCCCTCCTGTCTCCGAGCAGCCCCCAGCATGGGCAAAGAGAAGACCCACATCAACATCGTGGTCATCGGCCACGTGGACTCGGGCAAGTCCACCACGACTGGGCATCTCATCTACAAATGCGGGGGCATCGACAAGAGGACCATCGACAGGTTTGAGAAGGAGGCCTCCGAGGTGAGGCTGCTCTGCCTGAGCATCCCCTCCTTTCCAGCCTTGGTTTCCCTGGGAGGGATGCCTCATGGTGAGGGAGGGGACAGCCCAGTCCCGCTGAGCACCTGTTGGGCTGGTGGGTGCTTTCCCTTTCCATCGCGCGAGGCAGGTGGTGTGGCTGCCCTTTTCCAGGTGAGGCAAATGAGGCTCAGAGGGTTAAATAGCTTGCCTGAGGGTGGAGCCAAGGTTTAGATTCTAGTGTGACACAGGTGCCACGCCGTATCTCAGGAGGTAAAGCTGCCAACATCCCCATTTAAAAGGAGGAAAAGGATTTATTGGCCATGCATCTACCATGGATCTTGGGGTAGCTCCTCAGGATACAATGGTGAACATAACAAGCCTTGGCCCCCCAGGAGCTCTTGGTCACACACCCGCGTGTCACACAACAAGCTCAGTAACGGTGTGGGTGCTGTGGGAGCCATGGCAGGGATAATGAGCATGGCCTGGGAGGCCCTGAAGATTTCCCAGAGGAAGGGACCTCTGAGCCTTGAGGAAATGGGGAGGGTGTCCGTGAGCCACGAGGAGACCAGAACAGCAGATGCAGAGCCCCTGAGATGGAGAGTGGTTGTTTGATGAGACAGGGACATAGGCCTTGAAAGCCCTGCTTAAGGAGCCTGGCCACGGTCCCTGCAGCCACTAACAGATTGCAAGCATGGGAGTGAAGGGATCAGACAAGTCTTTTAGGAAGAGCCTGCTGGCTGCAGCATAGGGAGAACAGACTAAAGGGCCCAATGCGGGGGGCTGGAAAGCCAGTTAGGAGGTCGTCGCAGCTACCAGGTGAGCAAGGATGGGGCCTGGGCTCAGGCAGCAGCAGTGGGCATAGAGAGTAATGGATGGAGTCCAGGGACATGGAGGTGGGGAGTCCACAGAACTTAGGGGGTAGCTGTAGGCAAGGGGGGAAGAGGGGAAGAGGAGTTGAGGGTGACTCCCAAATTTCTGGCTTGGGAAATTGGATGGCCAGTGAATACCAGAGGCGGAACTGATCTGAGGTCCCAACAAGTCTACTCTTTTTTTTTTTTTGGTGAGGAAGATCAGCCCTGAGCTAACATCTGTTGCCAATCGTCCTTTTTTTGCTAAGGAAGATTGGCCCTGGGCTAACATCCGTGCCCATCTTCCTCTACTTTTCATATGTGGGACGCCGCCACAGCATGGCTTGATAAGCTGCGCGCAGGTCTGCGCCCGGGATCTGACCTGTGAACCCCCAGCCACGGAAGTGGAGCGTGCGAACCCAACCACTATGCCACCAGGCCGGCCCCTAACAAGTCTACTCTAGATGTGTGACATTTGAGGCGTCCTTGGGGCCTTCTGTGCTGATGTCTAGGGGGCAGCTGAATACTGAAGTCTGGAGCTCAGGATGGAAGTCCAGGTTGGAGCCTAGGCTATGGGATGAGCAGGGACATGCTGTGGGAAACGGTGAGGGAAGAGCGCGGGATGGGTGGGGAAAGAGGAACCCATGCGGGAGAATGGAAAGGGAGAGCCAGGGAGGGGGCTGGAAATGGAGTGAGGTGAAGAAGCATCTCAGCAAGATGCGAGTGGTCTGTAGAACCAGCTGCTGCAAAAGCATAAATAGAGAGGATCGAAAAAAGACAGCAACAGGTCATAAATGAGTGCCCTTGGCTACATAGTTCCCATTTTCCTAATCTTGGCTTTCCATGGTGCAGTCAGAATTGTTGCGGGGGCACTTATGTGGCCGGGGCTGTTAAGGAAAGCTTTAGAACCCTGAGAAAAGATGGATTGGTTCATAGCCAATGTGGTAGAAGCATAGCCAAGAAGGTTATGGAAAAACGAATGATCCGATGTTGTGGTTCTCAAACTCTTTGGGGAACTCTTTACACTCTTAAAGGGACCCAAATGAATTTTTGTTTATGTAAACTAGATCTGTCTATATTTACTATATTCAAAATTAAAAATGAGTTTTAAAAATATTTAATTTATTTAAAAATAACGGTAATAAACCCCTTACATATTAACATAAGTATCACATTTTTTTGTGTTTGAAAAGTAACTACTTTCCAAAACAAAAAATCCCAGAGTGGCATTGTCTTACATTTTTGTAGGTATCTTTAATGTCTGGCTTAATAGCAGACAGCTGGATTCTCATATCTACTTCTACATTCAATCTGTTGTGATTTCACATCATGCAGCCTCTAGAAAACACCACGAGGGGACCCTGGACCACTCTTTGAGAACTGCTTATCTAATGTGTATGCTAAACTGATGGGCTTCCTATAGCAGCAAAAGTCAGGATACTTGGTTTATGTCCTCTCTCTTAATGACCTAATCAGTTTTCTTGAGGCCACCTGGTCTCTGGTCTTTCCTCTGCTCCACTCTGCCCCTAGGGCGTAGCACAGTACTCTAGTTAGAGCTGAAATGAACAGATGCCCAGGATCTCTCAGCTCGCAAGTGGTAGTGTGGAGCCTAGACCATTGTGGTAAGCTCCATATGCTACAGACTTTACCAGTGCTGAAGAAAGTTGAACTGAGTCAGGGTCCCAGTACTTATGAGTCATGGCTACCATTTAACATGGACTTGTGGTTAAAAGCTTGAACTTGAGAGTCTGATGCCTTGGGTTCAGATCCCGGCTGTGCTGCTTATGAGCTGTGTGATCTAGGGCTGATCAGTTAATGTCTCTGTTACTTCATCTGTAAAATGGAAATGCTAAAACTTCACTGAGTGGTTGTGAGAATTAATCCGTGTTAAGTGCATAAAACAGCACCGGGTCCATGGTCAACATGCGCTTACGTGTTTGCTATTACTAACTTGAGGGCTTGCTGGTAGTGTGCCAGGCCCCTGTCCCTGTGCCAGGCTAGTCACTTTATCATATGGCCCTGGGTCACTCTGACTCTAAAACCTGCTCTAAAAGAAAAACTTGATTATGCAAGTAACACATTCTATTATTTAAAAATTCAAAGGCATCTCCATACACTGCCACCATGCGCTCTGACTCTCAACTTACTTGGGAACTTTCTTCTTGGTCGATGGGTGGCTTTGGAGGTAGGGGTGACCCTGGGTTTCCCTCCCACTCCTGGCCCAGATGGGCAAAGGCTCCTTCAAGTACGCCTGGGTGCTGGACAAGCTGAAGGCAGAGCGGGAGCGTGGCATCACCATTGACATCTCCCTGTGGAAGTTTGAGACCAAGAAATACTACATCACCATCATCGATGCCCCGGGTCACCGTGACTTCATCAAGAACATGATCACAGGCACCTCGCAGGTATCACGAGGTTTGCCTCGGCCCTGCTCTGGGGGTGGGCAGTGGGTGTCCCAGGCCAGGTCTGAGCTGGGCCTTCCTCTCTCTGTCCCTCGGGCCAGGCAGACTGCGCTGTGCTGATTGTGGCAAGTGGTGTAGGCGAGTTTGAGACGGGCATCTCCAAGAATGGGCAGACTCGTGAGCATGTCCTGCTGGCCTATACGCTGGGCGTGAAGCAGCTCATTGTGGCAGTCAACAAGATGGACATCACAGAGCCTCCTTACAGCAATGCGCGCTTTGAGGAGATCAGCAAGGAGGTGAAGGCCTATATCAAGAAGATCGGTTACAACTCTGAGGCTGTCGCCTTCGTGCCCATATCAGGCTGGCATGGAGACAATATGATAGAACCCAGCACCAAGGTAAGGGCTAGTGGGGCAGGGCCAATTACATGAGACTTTCCAACTCAGATCTTTGAGCTTCTCCTAGAATATAATACCCAGGATTTAGAGTGTGCTTATAGGTCAGTCACTGTGAATGATCTCCATCCCCATGGGACACATGATTTGATCCCCGTTTTACAGATGAACAAACAGAGGTAACTCAAAACTACACGACGAGTAAGCATAGAGCTGCACTGTCCAATGTGGTAGCCACTAGTTACATGTGGCTATTTAAATTATTAAAATTAAATCAAACTCAGTTCCTTGGGCCGGCCCTGTGGCTTGGTGGTTAAGTGCGCGTGCTGCGATGCTGGTGGCCCGGGTTCGGATCCCGGGTGCGCATCGAGGCACCACTTCTCCGTCCATCCTGAGGCCGAGTCCCACATACAGCAACTAGAAGGATGTGCAGCTATGACATACAACTATCTACTGGGGCTTTGGGGGGAAAAAAATAAAATAAATAAAATCTTTAAAAAAAAAAAAAAAAAAAACTCAGTTCCTTAATTGTATTAGCTACATTTCAAGTGTCCAACAACCATATGGGCTACCATATTGGACAGTGCAGTTATAGAATATTTCCATCATTGCGGAAAGTTCTGCAGTGCTGGCAGAGTCTAGAATTCTAGCCCATGCTCACAGCATCTAAGCTATCCTACTTCTCAAGACGGGTTAGGCAGTGTGGGGGCAATATGAGTGTGTCTATGATATAGTCACTGTGCTCATGGATTCGAGAATCTAGAAGGGTTTAAAATTCCTAGATGAGTGTCTCCCTACCAAGGAAGTCCAGCTCTAGCATCAGACCTGTGTTCAAGCCCCAGCTCCATCCCTTGCCCACAGTAGAGAGATTAGTGAGGTGTTAACACTCTGGGCCTTAGGACTCACTTCATGGGGTTGTGAGAATTATCTGAGAGAGACTCCACAAGGGCATCTGTTTATGCATACAGTTGGTGCTCAAGTGCTAACTGCTATCATTTGTTACATCACTAAAGCCTACCTTGTCTATAACTGACTTGAGGATTCTTAACCTTTTCATCCACATGTACATATCTGTCTTTTTCTGATTATAAAAGTAATGTCTAACACTTTTACAATGAGCATTTCATGTAGATATGAAGCATAAACTGCAATCCCATGGCTTGTAGATAACCTAGTTTTCTAGTTCTTTCTAGATGTTCACAGCTGGACTCAAACTATACATAATGTTCTACAGCACTTTATTTTTAAAATTTTTCTTGCTGTTCAAACGTGTTAAATAGTTAATGGGTGTTTTGTATCACCTCTCACAGAGGTACAGTAGTTTGTTTAGCCATGTCCATTATTAAATGAAAATGGTAATTAATGACTGGAGAAATTACTATGTGCCAAACACCAGACTAAGCACTTTACATATACACAACCCCATGAAGAAGGCGTTTATTCCCATGTGAAATAAGAAAATTGGGACACAGTGCAGTTAAGGTCACCAGGTTCTAAGAATGTTGTTTTTAATTTTATTAAAAGCTGCCATAAGCATCTTGGTAAATAAGTCTTTGCATGTGTCCTCGATAGCTTAATTAGAATAAGTTCTTAATGAAACAAAGGGTAGGCATTATTTTGGAGTCTTCTGACATGTACTGCCTAACTGTCCTTGAGAAAGATTAGAAGTGCCATTGGCAATGTGTTCATTTGGATGGTATTTGAACATTAGCACACTGGGCACTGTCCTTGGTGCTGAGGGTACAGCAGTGAATGAGACGCAACTCTGCTCATGGCACCTACTGTCTTGTTGGGAGGGGGGATAATATAGTGGATGATAAGTGCTGAGAAAAATCTAAAAGGTGAAGGGACATGGTATGAGAGAGTTACTTCATATTGGGTGGTCAAGGGGGGCTCTTCTTAAATGACATTAGAGCAGAAATCTGAAGCTTTCGATGCCTGTTTCCCTATACCCTGAGTATTATTAAACGTTTCAGCTGGTGAGATAAGGGGGTTTCATTCTCGTGTCCTTTTGAGCATTTATTAGGCACCTGCTATGTTCTAGATGCTAAAAGAACAAAGCATGCAGCCAGTGGACTAGATAATAGACTTGGGCTTTAGACTCAGCTCTCAAATAATACCTCTGACATCCAAGACCTCAGTTTCTCCATCTTTAAGATGGGGATGATGCCAACTACATAGGCTTGTTGTGTGGGTCTGTGAGTTGCCAAGTTCATCAAACTGAGGAGGCTGGTGTCTGGGGAGTTGACCTCATTATCAACTTCTGGTTTGGCCATTTGCCAGTCATTGGGCCTTGGCCAACCTACTTCTGACCCTCAATTATCCTCTCTGTGAAAAGAAGGAATACTCTTTTTTTTCTTATAAGTTTGAATTTATATAAAATCGCTTATTAAATTTTCTCGAAGCCTCCTATCTTCCCCTCTCTCCCACCCTCTATAATAGTTGAATATTAATAGAATTGGTAGCTTTCTTCCTTCAGCCACCAATTTTTGAGTCCTTGAGGTGTTCTGTGTGGCTTCTATACTGCCTAGCTCTGCTTCTCTTCAATGGAAGAAGGCTTCCGTTTCTGGAACCTTCTTCCCCATCCACCAAAGCCTTCCCTGATCTCCCTTCCCAACTGTTGCACCCATGGCAGTTGCTGCCTCCTCCCCGTCCTGAGAGTCTCACCAAGGACTGAGAGTGACCGTTCACCGAGAGCTTGCTGTGTGTGACCCCAGGGCCGGGGCACCTCTCCCAGGTCCTGCCTTTAACCGTCAGCTGTAGTGCTGAGGTAGGGGCTGGCGTTTCCTTTGACACTGATGGGAGACAGGTTTCAAAGCCTAGAGGTTTATTCAAGAACTCATGGCTGGAAAAGAGGAACTTCATCAGAATTCCAAGAGTCTGCCTGACCTAAGGCCCAAGTGCTGACCAGCTCTGCTGCTTGGTGTTCTGGCCGACCTTAACATCAACCACCTCGGTTCTTTCTGTACCTTGTCTGTCCTGGATTTCCAGTTAACTGATACATCTTTGAGGGCAAGATGATGTCTCTGATGAACTCTGGCCAGGGTTTTTAGAGGAGTAAATATAAAGTCTGCTTAAAAGGCATGTATACAATGTACTGTCATACTGAAAGTCATCCTCCTAGAAGGTCTTATACTCAATAATGCTGCCCTCACGTGCAATTCTGCTCCCTTGGTCTTTAGACCCTGCAGCACATTCTTCAGGGTGCCTCTGTTGGGGAACATCTTAGTCTTCAGAAGGTGTGAGTGTTGGAGTATTTGAGTCTTGTTTTCATTCTTACTCCTCCAGTGCTTACTTAGCTTTGCTGTATGTTAACAAGCACTTTCTCTTCTCTGGACCTCAGTTTCCCCCACCTGTGTAATGCAGATGGAATGAGATCTAAGGGCTATCCAGATTCTAGGAATCTCTGCTTCCTGAAATACGTTGGCTCAACTCAGAGGCCTGTGAGATTTAGTCATTGCCACCATTGAGTGGGCGCATGGTACGTGTCAAGCCTTGCGCTTGGTGGACTGCCTGTGGTCTGTTGTGTCTTTACACTGGTCTGCAAGGTGGGCAGTGATATTGCCGTGGCACAGATGAGGAAGCCGAGGCTGACGATGCATAAAGAAATTGCTTGAGGTCCCATGTTAAGTAAGGGCCAGTACCTGGGACAGGTGCTTTTGGGGCTGCATGAGCTGCACCCTTGGTGGTTTTTCTAGATGCCCTGGTTCAAAGGCTGGAAGATCACCAGGAAGGAAGGGACCATGGCAGGCATGACGCTGCTGGAAGCACTGGACTCCATCGTGCCCCCTGCCCGCCCTATGGACAAGCCCCTGCGGCTGCCCCTGCAGGATGTGTACAAGATTGGGGGTGAGAACATGCCATGTAGGGTACTCGGGTTGGGGGTCCACTGGGGTCTGGCTGCTGATGGCCCGGTTGCTCTGTCCCTCCAGGTATTGGCACTGTGCCTGTGGGCCGGGTGGAAACTGGCTTCCTCAAACCGGGTATGGTGGTGACCTTTGCCCCCTGCAACATCACCACGGAGGTCAAGTCTGTGGAGATGCACCACGAGGCCCTGGCCGAGGCCCTGCCTGGTGATAACGTGGGCTTCAACGTGAAGAACGTGTCCGTGAAGGACATCAGGCGGGGCAACGTGGCAGGGGACAGCAAGAATGACCCGCCCTTAGAGGCGGGGAGCTTCATCTCGCAGGTGAGAAGGCCCACTTAGGAGTGACCTCGTGAGGTGGCCATACTGTCCTGCGAGCAGGATGGGTCACTGGGTCATTCAGGAAGTGGTCACTGAGCACGTACTCTGTGCTGGGCACTTGATGGCAGTGTGGGTAGAGTCAGACAATCTGGGTTAGAGTCCTGACTCTACAGTTTATTTGCTGCTTGTCCTTGAACGAGACAGTGCATTTTGCTGAACCTATTAATTTCCAGAATACAGTCTTGAGGCCTTCAAGTAGAGCAGTTCTCAAACCGGGTGGATTAGAATCACCAGGGAACTGTTTCAAAAATGCAGATTCCTAGGCCTCTCTCCAGTAGTTCTGATTCAATAGGTCTCTGTGGAAACTGGCAATCTGTATGTTTGGAGCTCTCAGGTGTTTTCTTGGCCCAGAGTTAGAATATGAAGCCCTTTCTTAATGCAGTGTCTGACACATTCTTAGATGCATGTGGAGGCTGGTGCTACCTGGCAGTGATCTTGGGAGCATTAAATGAGGTGACGTATAAGACAGCTATCCTGGGGCTGCTTAACAAGTTAGGTAGCTGCTATTATTATAATCCATTTTTCTAAATGGCGGGGAGAAGCAGTACATGTAATGACATCTATGTGTGTAGGTTTTAGTATTACTCATGCTCAGCTCGGCCTCTTCCTATGAAATTTCAGGTAAGTTACTCAGGATCCCTGCTGTGAAAATTAAATTGGGATGCATGAGATTTGCTTTGCATGGAACTTGGTCTACCCTATACATGTTCACACGTTCACTATAATTTACAGCGTGTCCAAGGCACCTGACCGCTTAGCTGGTTAGGGCCACCTCCTTTGAAGGACGGTTGGCCAATGCCCTCCCCGTCCTACCCTGCATTCCAGGTGATCATTCTCAACCATCCCGGCAGCATTGCAGCTGGCTACTCGCCAGTCCTGGACTGCCACACAGCCCACATCGCCTGCAAGTTTGCAGAGCTGAGAGAGAAGATCGACCGGCGCTCGGGCAAGAAGCTGGAAGACAACCCCAAAGCCCTGAAGTCTGGGGACTCAGCTATCGTCCAGATGATCCCGGGCAAGCCCATGTGCGTGGAGAGCTTCTCCGAGTTCCCACCGCTTGGTAAGGCCCAACAGCACCTGGCTGCCAGGGCTGCCCCTTCCTCCTCCTGGCTCCAGGGAGCCAGTTGGCCAATGTGTCACACCTGAGCCAGGTAGCGGAACCTGGTCAGAAGGATCTGAGCGCCAAGTTATCAGGGCACAAAAAGGGAAAGCAGCTTGCCTAGTGACACACAGCAAGGCAGGGGCCACTTTAGAGCCTTGCTACTCAAAGTGTGGTTCGTGGACCAGACATCGCCTGGGAGTGGGTTAGGAATGCAGAATCTCAGGCTCCATCCAGACCTGCTGAACTCAGATCTGCATTTTAACAAGACCCCAGGTAACTGGGATGCACATCAGTGTGAGAAGCACTGACGGAGAGGAGGGGAATAGAGCAGAGATTAGTAGGGACTTTCTTTTTCCTTCCTTCTCTCTATTGAGTAGCTTTCAAACCTGGTGGATTACCAGAACCATTCATGGAGACCATTAAACCCAGAGGCTCAGGCCCTGATAGACTTACCTGGTCAAGGCTGCAATGTAGGGGTCTGTTTCTTAGATTCCCCAAGTAAGCTATGCATGGCTGGGCTTCAACCATTAACCTAGACCGTTCTGAACTCAAATATGTAGGGAGTAGGCACTTATATGAAGGGCTAGATGTTAGATATTTACAAATAAACAAGTCCCTGCCCTCAGGGTCTCCCAGTTAATGGGGAAGGGGGTAAATTTCAAAAGGCTAATTTTAGAGGTGGGCCAAAGAGGCTGCTACATGAATCTTGCAATGCTGGGTTAGTTCCTCCTATCTCTTCCAAAAATCCTGAGGCTTGAAGCCAGGTGCCAAAGCCTTTCCCTCCACAGTTTGAAGTTAGGGGAGCATTCAAGAACCCCCAGAAGCAACTGCCAGATTCACGGTTGAATGTAAATGAGATCCATCCCCTGGGCTGTAATGGGCACAGAGAAGGTGCTGGTTGCCTGGCGGCTGGGGGCATTAGTACAGTAGGGTGGTGGGTGCACCGAAGCAAAGCTCCCCTGTGACCTTTATTTATGCAAGCAGGACAGTGAAGTGGCTGAGAATATAAGCACTGGTGTGAGACTTCTGGGTTTTCAACCATTAAAGCCAGGTGACCTTCAACTTCTGTGTCTCAGTTTTCTTATCTGTAAAAGAGAGAACAATAATGAGATTTACTGAGAGTTGTTGGGAGAATTAATGAGCCTATAAGTAGATCTCAAAGTATCACTTACACGGCTCACTTGACTTCCTGTGCAGGTGTCCCATAGCTATGCCCTGGCAGTGTTCCCCACTTGTTTCTCTGCATTCTGTGTCCTAGGTCGCTTCGCTGTGCGTGACATGAGGCAGACGGTGGCTGTCGGGGTCATCAAGGCTGTGGAGAAAAAAGCAGCGTCTGGTGGCAGAGTCACCAAGTCAGCCGTGAAGGCGGCCAGGAAGTGAGTGGTGACAGCTCCTTCTGGGCCCTGCAGGCCACAGGCAGCCCACACGGAGCCACACCTGGGAAAGAGCGGGTCAAGGAGAAGCCTTGGACTTGCTCTTCTCTTGCCTGAACTGTCGTAAATGTGCCCCTGCTCACGCAGGTTTCCTTTTGTGGATGAGTTTGAGGTCTGGGAATAAAGCACAGCACGTCTTTTTGCCTCTGCTTCTGCTGACCTTGGTGTCTTGAGCCAGGAGGACACAGGTGGGGTGCTGGGTCTGCTTCTGCCCCTCTGCCTGCCTTCTGGGGGCCTGACTGGTGCAAGCAGCAGAGAGCTGGGGTCACAGGGAGGAAGAGGTGTAGAGGGGAAACCTTTGGCCTGGACCTTGTTCATCAGCTCCTAGAACAGGACTGGGCTCTGGTCTCAGACTGCCTGATTTAAATAGTGTCTATAAAAGTCACTAAACTTCTGTGTAGCCTTGTCTGCTCAAATGTAAAACGGGAAAACAGTGACAGTATCTGCCTCCACAGGGATGTTGAAGATTAAGTGAACCAGTAGTGCCTGCTGGACATGATAAACTAGCTATTAATGAGCTACTCCAGTTGACATGGTGTGGGCGCCGGAACCAAGAGAGAGCTATCCTGAGGAAGTTCTGTCGGAGAAAAGTTAGGGAAGGGAAAGGAATGAGACTGAGTTTGGAGAATGAGCTCTGTGTTATATCTTTGTAGGTACGTGTTTCCCTCAGGTTATTTTCTGCACTTTGACAATTTCAGAGTTACAGATAAGTTGCAAGAAGTCCCATGTATCCTTCACCCAGATTCCCCAAATCTTAAATTTACCACATTTGCTTTATCCTTTTCACTCTAAATATACATTTTTTTTTCTGAACCATTTGAGAGTAAGCTGCAGACATAATGCCCCTTTACCCCCAATACTGAATGTGTATTTTTTAAACCCAAGGGCATTCTTATATACCCAAGGTCAAGTAATCAGAATGAGGGCATTAAATTAACATGGGTACATTTCTGAAGTCTACAGACCTGTCCCAATAACATACTTGACAGCAAAAGAAAATCCAGGATCATGTGTTGCATTCAATTGTCTTATCTCTTTAGCACAAGTTTTGAAGCAGCTCCTCTGTTGGGTCTGGCCTTCCCAGAGGTCTGGCTGGGGGCCCAGCTCTAGGCTAGCTGGTGGTGCTCTATGGAGGAGGCTCAAAAGAGGGGTCTTTTGTCTTCGCCCTCCTCCATCAGCCTAGCTTCCCAGAAGTGCCCTTTTGTCCCTACAGGGAGGGCCTGGGGGCTTCTGCCTCCCCTATGATGATAAGAGAAGGGGATTACAGCAGCAGAGGGAAGCGGCTTGGCTCCTTTTCCACCAAGGCCCTGTATGTTCTCCTTTTCCCATTTGTTCCTGTGAAAGAAACTGGCTGACTCAAGGCCGGCTTCTACCTGGGATGCGGATCCTGGCACTCCCTTGGGTCCTGCTGCTGAGGATTTAGTGCAAACCAGAGAGCCCTATTGTTGTCTGAGACTGGAGTCCTTGTCTGTCAGAGACTAATCTGCCAGCCACCTTTGTGCCTGCAGGATAACCATCTCTTGATGACATACCATATGTAACATTTTGTGGGGAGGGGTGTTGCTTGGATAGAGTGCATTTATATTAACAAGAGTAACCACTTATTGTGGGCTTATTATGTGCTCTACACGATTACGTCATTTAATTTTCACAACAATCTCATGTGATATGAGTACCTAATTTAAAGATGAAGAAAACTGTGGCTGAAAGAGGTTTAATTAGTAATCTGCCCCAGGTCACATAGCTATGAGCTAGCCAAGACAGGACCACATCTGCCTATCTTCATAGCTCGGGATTCTTAAACCACCACTCAGTTCTAACTGTATAAGTTCCATTTGTTTACATTGTTACAGAATAAATTATTTTGCTTTATAGTTTGCATAATTGAGTTAATGTAGTTCCGCCTGTTTCATCACGCAAGAACCACCAAGTCCTGAGACTGTGGGAGGGAAGGGCGTCAATGGGCACTGGAAGCTCGAGGAAATGCCAGTTCAGGGAGCTTTAAACATTATTTTTGGAAAACCCCGGTCCCAGTCTTCAGCCTGCGTCGCCTGCAGTTGCTAGCAGTATCCACGCGGGGGCGCCGGCGCCGCGCTGCTCCAGACGCGCCTCTCTTCCTCTCCCTCATCTCTCTGGTGAGCTTGGGATAAAAGCCCGCCTCCTGGCCCATGAGGCCCTGGGCCGGAAGCTTCACTTTCTCTTCCTGTTTCCCACCATGGCGGTAAGTAGCTGATGCTGGGGTTTGCTTCCCTTCATCCATCTCCATCCACGGCCCGCCGAGCCCGCGGGGGCTGCGGAGCCTGTGGCCCGAGGAGAACGGACTCCGCAGTGCTGGCCGTGCCGAACCTGGCAGAGCCATGTGGCCTGAGGGCGCGGACCTGGACCCTGTCGCCCTTTCTCCCGCCCTCCTAGGAGCGGGCTCGGGGCCGCCGCCCGCCGGGCTCAGAAGCGCGGCCCGTAGGCTGCAGCGAGGGCGAGTGGAGCGCACGGAGGGGTGTGGGACACGGGGCCCGGACCTGTTTCCGTTCCCGGGGGCTGCAGACGCGCGCGGTGCTCGGGACTCTCAGCCGGTTCCTCCGCTTCGGGAGGGCGCCGCCAAGCTGCCCTGGAACGGGGTGGGCGACGTCGCACCACGTGCTTGCTGAGCAGTTACGTGCTGTTTCTGCCCCCCTCCCCCGTCGGCCTTTTACGAGGCGCGCTCCTGTCACCCTGCACGTTGAGTCCCTTGGGGTTCGTCCTCAGTGTCCAGGTGGCTGTCCTGTTTCTGCTCCCCCATTCTTCAGTGGGGGAGGAGAAACAAGATCCCGAGCTGTCGTCTTGATGCCTCGCAGACAGACGCGGTGGTACCTTGTTCTTAACCCCTCGGCCTTTGTTGCGATTCGGGATGGGCAGACACCAGTAGGCCGTGTAGGAAAATGCTGGGCTGGCGGTGGCGGGGTTGAGGGTGTTGACTCCTGCGCTTCCCTGTTGCAGCAGGATCAAGGTGAGAAGGAGAACCCCATGCGGGAGCTTCGCATCCGCAAGCTCTGCCTCAACATCTGCGTGGGGGAGAGTGGGGACAGACTGACGCGGGCAGCCAAGGTGCTGGAGCAGCTCACCGGCCAGACCCCGGTGTTCTCCAAGGGTGAGTGGGGGCCGGCGCGGGGGGACTGGCCGCTCTGCCCGCCTGGGTGTTTCTGAACTGCTTCGCTGTCAAGCCTGTTGAGTGTCCCTTTTGAAAGTGTCAAAGTCGGCACCCCTTAAAAGCATTCCCTTCCTGAGCTACCCCAGAAGTATCTTTTCAAGATTGGGTGTGGCGTTGGAATACCAGATTTTACTAGCCCAAGTAAAGATTTTCCAGGTACCGGGGATGAGGCGGAGTGGAAATGGTGGGAGTGCAGTGCATGGTGTTAGGTCTGATAAGCAGTTAGGCTTACACAGGCTCCGTTAGGAGCAGGGCTGTGTACCTGGACTAACTGGGTTCAAATACTGGCTCCACCACTTGCTCGTCTGTGACTTTGGCCTCTGTGGACTTAAGCTGCTTACTTGCACAAAAGGAAAGATGATGCTTGCTTTATAAGATTGTGGAGAACGGAATGAGTTAGTGTATATGAAATACCTGCTACATATCAAGCACAATGTAGGCGTTGTTATTGTTTTGTTACTTTTTTATTTTTCAAGTTTCATTGAGGCCGGCCCGGTGGTGTAGCGGTAAAGTGCGCGCGCTCCGCTGCGGCGGCGCAGGGTTCGGATCCCAGGCGCGCACCGACGCACTGCTTGTCGGGCCATGCTGTGGTGGCGTTTCATATAAAGTGGAGGAAGATGGGTACGGATGTTAGCCCAGCGCCCGTCTTCCTCAGCAAAAAGAGGATTGGCAGATGTTAGTTCAGTTTGTGATCTTCTTCACACACAAAAAAAAAAGTTTCATTGTTTTAGGATAGTGGAATATGACAAGTTTCTTGGGTTCAGATCCTGCCAGTTATTATCAACTGTGATCTTGGGCAAGTGAATCTCGCACAATCTCATCTGTAAAATGGGGATAACGGTACAGTAAGGTTTTAGCAAATATTAGCTGTTACCAATGTTTTGTTTTCTTTAGAACACAGTTATCTTTTTTTCTGGGGACCTATTCTGGTTGTGAACTTGCTGTTCCTGAGACTTAGACATTGTGACTTGGAGCTCTTAATTGCTTGAGGATGGCTGAATGACTTGGAGGTTGGAAAATCACTTTCCTCTGTTAAACAGATGAGACCAGTATAACAGATGTAGGTGACACTGGTTAGAACAGCACCATTTAGAGTAGATTGATACTTAATGTCTCTTTGGAGTTGTGGGGATGATGTTGTGGGGAAGAGGTGAGTGCAGTGGGAGTGTGACAACACCTGACTCCTTGTTACCCCCTGCCTGCAGCCAGATACACCGTCAGATCCTTTGGCATCAGGAGAAATGAAAAGATTGCCGTCCACTGCACAGTCCGTGGGGCCAAGGCAGAGGAAATCTTGGAGAAAGGTCTAAAGGTGAGGCTGATCCCATCGTGGGGTGATACTGGAGTGCCAGCTTAACACATGTAGATAATTATAGTGGCAGTAGTTACACAATGTACTGTCTTTGGTGGTCTGATTTTTTTTTTCTAAAGTTCTGAAGGGCTTTTCCTGCACTCGGCAGGGTTAACCTGTATTTGATCCTTTCTCTGGGTTTTTCCCTGCCCTTTGAAAGTTGGGAGAGTTCTATAAAATCCATAGTTGGGATGTGATTGGTGTACTGGGGAAATCAGATTTTGTTCCTGGCCCAGTTGAGTCGAATTAGATTTCTGGGTGCTGAGTGTTGCAGGCTAAGCTAATTATTTGGGGGGAATTTGAGTTGACAAGGAGTGTGATGGCTGCATGTTTCTCCTCAGGTGCGAGAGTATGAGTTAAGAAAAAATAACTTCTCAGATACTGGAAACTTTGGTTTTGGAATTCAAGAACACATCGATCTGGGGATCAAATATGACCCGAGCATTGGTATCTACGGCCTGGACTTCTACGTGGTATGAATATTCAGTCTTTTCCACTCCTGGTCTGTGAGGACAGTGGAATCGCCTTTATTTCATATGTGCTATCTTGATGTTCAAATGTTGGACTGAAGCTTTGAGTGTTGTCTGCTTTTGTCTTCTCCCCCTTGGGAAGATGTGCCTTATTTGTGGCAGGTGTAGGGAGGGATCCAGCACTGAACTAGGTAGATAAGATCTTGCTTTTGTGAAGCTTACAGTGTAAGCTCTAGGAAGCACTGATAAGGTTAAAGGTAGATGAAGGAAACTATTCCATCCAGCCACTGAATTGAAAATTTGAGAGTGTATGGTGCTGCATTTGGCATGTGGTTTGGCTGCACTGAGGCTGCCATTTCCCAGCTCCTTCCCTTAGACCTTGGGGATTGGGTGGCTTTCCATCCAGAGGATATAGAAGCTGGTTTGGTGGTGCAGCTGTTGCTCAGGATGGGAATTTCAATGTAGAAATAACCATTTGTGTTCCTGCAATGTTTTGGTGCAACCATAAAACTAAATAACAAAAATCAGAAGTCTTGACTAGTATGGAACCTGAATGATGGCTGCACTCTCATTAGATTTGAATAGTCAAACAGTAATGAGAACTGGGTGCTCACAGGGAGTTTGGGAACAGCAAATCTTTAAGAAGCACTTTTGACCTGAAGCAGAATGAGGGAAATGTAACAATTTCTTTGTGCTTCTCAGAATTTGAAGTTTTCTGTAGTGCACATGTTGTAGTAAGATGTTTTTTAATGTTACTTTTAAAAATAAAAGTGCTTTGGAGATGGGAGAGCAGTGGTGGAGAATCCTTAGCTACCATTGGAAGTTAGGAAGGGGGGAGGTGTTGCAGGTTCCAGCCTCCAAAGCAAACGTATAGTATGGTGGTGTGTTGTCCAGGATGCTGGTAACTGTTCCATGAGACACTGAGATCATGAGTCTCTTGCTCCAGAATTCGTTGGGCCACAGGTGACTCTTGAAGATCAGTCTCCAATGTGTGAGTCTTGTCCATCTGCTCTTGACTCTGAGCTGGCTAGGTGACTGTTGGTTATTCCTGGGACAGGTGCTGGGTAGGCCAGGTTTCAGCATCGCAGACAAGAAGCGCAGGACAGGCTGCATTGGGGCCAAACACAGAATCAGCAAAGAGGAGGCCATGCGCTGGTTCCAACAGAAGGTAAAGCTGATTTATCAGGTGGAGTGGTGGAATGTGGTGTTGGTGAATGGTGTTGGGCTTTGGGGATGCAAAATGTAGCAGCTCTAAAGATAGAATATTTGGGCACCTTGGCAAATGGGGGCTTCAGGGTTGGTGGTTTAAAAGAACGCCCAGAACCAGGCCTTCTCCCCACCCCCATGAATGCAGGTGGCTGGGAGGGGAGGAATATAGCTTTAATAGGAGCCCCTTTTTTCTCGGGGTATAGTGCAGTTAAGCACAGCGTAGTAGTTATTAAAACTGGCCGGTTTCCTGTTTAGTCCAGAAGGGATATGGGATTCAGAGCCGAAGTTCATGTTGCAGATTTGAATTTTCAAGCGTTAGCCATTGCTGCAATCTTTGCTGTTGCCTCCTGTTCTGAAAAAAATAAAATCTCTTCTCTTTCAGTATGATGGGATCATCCTTCCTGGCAAATAAATTCCCGTTTCTATCCAAAAGGCCAATAAAAAGTTTTCAGTGAAATGTACATTACTGTTGTGTATTCTGTGAAAGGAGCCTGGCCATATTCAAGTCCTTGGACCTCAAGCCACTTAAAGCTTCGATGGGAATAGCTGGTAACAACCCTGTCATCCTCTGATTGGATGCCAGTGTTTGCGGCAAATCCAAGCCTGAGCTTCGCAGCATTGCCTGTGCCCACCACACCCTTGTTGTTGGGCTGTGGTGCAGTAGTCCCCTGGAAACTGATCTTAGAGGGGAGGGGACGCTTGGGGCTGGGGTTTGAGTTTAGAGCCTTAATTAAAGGTGGGGTGCCGTGCTCCTGTGTGCCGGGAGGCTCTCCTCTATTCGCTGATTCTCTTCTTCACTAGAGATTTTACCAGCACTGATGTCTGGTGAAGGGTTCACAGGCTTTGGTGTGATGCTCGGGGTTAAATTTGTTTTAACTATTTAGGCTTGCTTTTCCTTTAAAATGAGGAGACTCTATAGGGTTGTTGAGAGGCAGCATAGGTGGAGGGTGGTCCTTGAGGCAAATTGCCTGGATTCAATTCCCTGACCTCCCTTTTATTAGCTGTTACGTTAAGCAAATTAATCTCTCTGCCTCAGTTTCTTCACTGTACCATGGAGGCAATAATAATAGTAGTACGTCCTGGTGGGTTAAATGGTGTAATAGCCTGTGGAATGCTTAGACTTGTACCAGGCACATGGAGCTCAGAAGGGGCTCATTTTGTGTTTTGGTATACGAGAAATGTTACTATAACCAGTTTGCTTCCCCTGTGGTGTGAAAGCAGAATTTTCTTGCCTGTGTTTTTCCAGGTCACTGAAGCAGGGACATTCAGAAGGCACCATTTCTCTGACTGTTAGACGCAGTACTTGGCCAGTGGTTCACAGTTTTCAATCTTGAGTTTAAATTTTGAGCACCTGTTAATTCAGTTCAGTAATTTCCTCACTTGTGACTAATGAGTTAAATTGTTCTTGAGCCAGGCCACTTTTCATTGCTGTTAAATGGTTCTCTGATTTGTTAGCTGCCTTGTGGGTATTTTAAAACCCAAAGATTATTTGGTGTGCTTAATTTTTTATGAAAATATGACTTATTTTGTCTTCCTGATAATAAAGTCTTATCCGATAAGATCACATCCAGATGCTTAAAGGGGAGAATCATGAAATGTGTTACCTTGTACTTTTTATTTCTCTTAAAATATCAATGTGCGTTCACTTGTCAATCTTTTACTGTAGGGCCAGGGCCACCACTTGTAAATGGAATGAACACTTGTGAAGGAAACTGATTCTTGTGATTCAGCTTCATTTTTATAGGAGGGAACTTTACTTGTTTTTACTTCTATAATTACAGTAACAGCTGCCACTAGAATAAACATCTTTGAGAACAAACTAACTCTTGGTGACTATCTAGCTAACTAGTGCTGGGTGCTGGCTGCTTGGAAGTCAGTCTGTTTTACAGAGGAGATGGAGAGCGTATGCTAGTTTCATCTAAATCATTTCAGAAGTATGAAATGTAGAAAGTGAGAGTCCCTCCAATGCTACTACTGACCTTGTGCACTTTCCTGTTAGCCATTTGCCTTGTAGCTGTATGTATTTTATGTTTGCGTTACTATTTAATTTTAACAATATAAACCTGCCTACCCTTCATTTGGTCCTGCTGTATTGTGTACTCAGTTGACTTGACTTCCCGTATCAAAAAAAAAAAAATTAAACTGCTTGGCCTCTTGGCCCAGTGGAAAGAGGGCTCTTGGGAGTTCAGAGGTCTAACTGGATTTTAGTCCCAGCTCTAGCAGTATATTTTAGGTGAATCATGAAACATCTTGGGGACTGGACCAAGTGGGGATACTTGCCTTAACCAGTTTAGAGCAGCCACTGTCAGGGTGGTTAGAAGCTTGGCCTCCGAACAGATGTCACGCTGGAGTCTAAAGCATTAGAGCTTGTTGAGCTTGCTAGTGACTGGATTAGGATCACCTGGGGGTTTCTTAACACTTGAGCCTCACCTCAGACCTACTGAATTAGAATCTGCCTTTTAACAATATCTGCAGGTGATAGGTATGCACACTGAAGTGTAGAAGCACTACCCACATCCTCATGCTGAAACAAAGGGAGGGAGGACATAATGTCCAAGGAGATTTGTTTAATAAATTTAGTTCTGTGAAGTTCTTGCTGTGTGGTTTTTTCCCCTGATTTCTTGAGCTGCTGCACATGAAAACTTGGATCAATGGTAGGTGGCCCTCCATCCCCATGTCGCATTGTGAGTGTCCTCAGAATAAGCTAGTGTCCCTAGTGGGCCTCTGTATGTATCCTGTACCGGGCCCATACATACTGGATGCTGCTTTGCTGAATGAATCCTCTAGTCCTGCAGTTACCCTCAAAGGCAGAGTTCTCATGCTGGTGCAATAATACCTATCCCCATTCTGGGGTATTTGAACATGTACAGGGGTGAGCTTTTGAATATCACAGGAAGTAGGGCTGCTGTTTGCATTAGTGCCTGGAGGCCAGGTATGTCAGACTTCTGCTATTCAGGATGACCAACACAAGTACATGAAGTGCTGTGGGGATAGGTGCAGGATTGTCACTGATACTTAAGCAGATGGATGGATGATGGGGGCAAGCCAGCTGTGCAAACTTGAGGAGGTCCCAGTCTGTTCAGTTGAGGAATAGCATAGAGACTGTATCTAGAGTAAGAGTGGAGGGGAGTAGTAGATCAGGCTAGTGAGGGGCCAGATCACAGAGCCTGCCATTGGTGGCTCTAGCTGCTGTGGCAAGACAGACTTGAGAAAGGGGAGTTGGAGCAGAAACAAAGAAATCAAGTTACTGTACCAGAGTGCTGGCATTTTCATCCACATAGGCTGGCCAAAGGGGAGAGAGCAACATGTAGGTAAGAGTAGTCTAGGGGCTGGCCTGGTGGCGCAAGCAGTTAAGTGTGTGCACTCCGCTGCGGCGGCCCGGGGTTCGCGGGTTGGGATCCCGGGGCGCACCAAAGTACTGCTTGTCAAGCCGTGCTGTGGCGGCGTCCCATATAAAGTAGAGGAAGATGGGCACGGATGTTAGCTCAGGGCCAATCTTCCTCAGCAAAAAAGAGGAGGATTGGCAGATGTTAGCTCAGGGCTGATCTTCCTCACAAAAAAGGTAGTCTAGAGTTCTTTTTAAAGATGTGATCAAAACCTTTAAAAATTATGTGTGTGCATGCATATGTTACCATTTTGAGCTGTTAGGTAGAAAGTATCAGGCCACGAGGACTGTCTTTATGCCAAACAACTTTAATAAAAAATTATGCATGATAATCATAGGGCTGAGGACAGTAGGTTCTCTCCCTCACTGGGAACACTAGCAAAACACTAGCAAACATGGTTAATGTTACCTTCTAGGCCTTTTTTTTTTTTTTTTTAACATTAAAAGGAAACTGTAGCTAGAATTTTATTTTGTGCTTTTTTTCCCCTCTTAAGTATTCTCATGTCATTATAGTGGCTTCATAATATGCCATCTTTTGGATGTATAGGACATATTGCCTTATCTGTGCAGCCAGCACTAAATGTCAGGAATGTCAGTTCCATAGAACTGCCCCAGTAGAGGCTTTTTTTTGTCCTGTTGTCTTGACCCTGTGTCCAGTGAGTGTCTGTAAGGTACTTGCATAGTATCTTGAAGCTGTTACATGGTGTGTAGTTGAAAGAACGCTAAGCTGAAAGAAGGTCATCTAGGTTCTAATTTCCACTTTGTTTCTCCTGTTAGCATCGTGACCATAGGCAAGTAACGAGGTAAATTGCAGCCTCTCTGGCCCTCTAGAGCAGACTAGCCTATTGGATTTTGTGTATAGCCCTTTATCTTCTGAATTTGGTGCTTTTGCCCTTTCCTGCAGCTTAGCCATCCAGTAGTCCCACTGTTAAACTCCACACATGTGCCAGCTGGTGGGTAAAGACCACAATGAGTAGGCTGCCGGAGGAGCCTGAGTCCTCAAGGGTTAAGGCCCAGCCGGGTCTTCTAGGTGAGTGGGGAGGTCAGGGCCCAGAACCACCCACAAATAGTTTAAGCTGCCAGCCACTGGGGAGCTAGCTGGTGCCTGGGGGTACAGAACCACTTTCAGAGCAGCTTGTTATGGAAACCACAGTTGTGGTTGTCAGAGGGGAATCCAGCTTAAGGCACCTGGGGGTACCAGGAGGACTGAAGTTGACTCTGTTCAAGGTACAGGTGCAAGAAAGGTTAGGAATCAAATGCAGATGGTTTTTTTTCACAAATCTGAAGAATGTTGAGTTGTGATTGTACCAGTTGAGGACTTATGTAACTTGATTTTAGAATGTTATATAATTATATTTATCACTATTGATTTAATTTGCTATGTGATAAATATGTCAGTAGTTACCTGGAGACTAAAAGTAGCTTGAAAGGCAAAGGCATGCAACAGTTCAAGCAGAAATGATGTTCTAGACTCCCTCAGTTACCCAGCTGAATGTATTCTTGATAACAAGACTTTTAACCCTTTTAATACCATGGTGACTGCCTCTGGAAGTGTTTTCCTATAGTGTATTTCTGTTTTTTGCTTTTAAAGATTGGTTCTGCTCAAACATTACACAGTATGTCATAGTGGATAAGAGCACAGAATTTGGAATTTAAACATCTCAAATCCCTTGCAGGGCCCCGGCTGATACTGTAGGCTTGTTTTCTATGAGGACTCCCACTAGCTGCCATCTGGCTCCTCTTCCAACTCTAATTTTAGGAAATAGTTGTGCAATGGTTGTTACTCTCAGAGTAGTCATCCAGGGAAACTCCAGGGGGAGGGGTATGCTTTCCTGGATGTTGGTTGGTATTCTTTCCTGACATGCATATATTATCCTATTTAGTTTTCATGACTTTATGAGGTGTTACAATGACAAGGACACAGATTGCAGCATAGAGAAGGAAATGAACTGCCCAAAGTCACAAGTGGTGGTGGAACCAGTCTTCAAACCAAGGTGGTCAGACTCCAGAACCTCCAGATCTGCTATCCTTTTGTATAGGTGTGTAGCTCTTAAATAATAAGGCTAAACCACACAT